CATAAGGACCCCCCACCCCCATTGGTTTTAATGTTGTATACTGTAACAATGTATTAGTACAAGGTACTAACTCTAAAGTTGCAAAAAAAACCAAGCATCCTGCATCTCTGACCCTGACTGATATAACCCTGATCTGTGACTCATTACATTGAAACCACTCCTTTGTTGTTGCTGCTGCTTTATTTTTCCTCTGGGAACTCGTTTCCTGTAAGTGATATGACTCAAAACAAACGCACACGTAAGCACAAACACATAAAAGTTCACGAGCGCAGATGCATGCACATGTATGACAAACAACAGATGTTGATGGTTTATGCCCCCCCCCCACCTCCCACCTCCGCCCTCACATAGAGTATGCACTGGGAAACGACCTCCTAACCTGACTGGAGGACATCGCTTCTCAGGTTCATGGGCTGTTTTCCCCTTTTATGGAAAAATATCTGTATTCTTCACTGAAAAAGTACTGTTCTAAAACCAAAATTTTAATTTTAAAAATAATTAAAACAAACAAACAAACAACCCCTGGAGGTTTAGGGGGAATTTTTACTGTCTTATGACACCTGGAGGTATTGTTTAATGAGGTGTCACATTTGTTTGGCTGCAGGTGGCGCCGACTGTACGACTGGAGCTGAAGTCACAATAGTCATTATGCATGCTCGCTACTTCTCCCACAGGTGAAGAAGCCAAGTGTCTCTCATATGTACCTCAGCTGATGTGTGTGTATGTGTGTGTGTGTGTATTACCATGTTTACATGCTTGTGTTTACGCATATTGTACCTGTGTGAGTCGAAGGACAGATGCAGCTGACAGATTCTGCATGTTATTACTGAAACCGTGTGGGTGACGGACGTGTTTTGCGAAGAAGAGAAGTGTGTGTGTGTGTGTTTGTGTGTGTTTTCCCAGCTTCCTGCTGTGTGGAAAACAGATTGTTCGATCTAACGGGTTGGTTGGATGATGGACAAGTGAAACTACAAGCAGCGCATGACACTTGAGATCAAACAGAGTGTGAGTAGGGCTCATTAAAATGTCTATTGGAACTGGAATTGCAACTGTCCTTCTACTCTACTTGTTGCTAGTTTCTCAACAATCTGTTTATTATTCATGGTAATAGACATATTGGTACACCTACACTGCAACCAGACTGCCATTAGAAGGTCAATCATCAAACAATGTGGTGCTGACTTCCATTGTGCTTTATCTTTTATTTCCCCTCAATGGAATTAGAATTTATTAACTAAACTCTGAACTGAATAATTACAGTCAACCTAATACGTGCAGTGAGAAGGAGCCGGATGTTGACACAGAAACCAGTCGACGGCCTTATTCTTTTCTCATCTACATCTATTGTGTCAAACGGCAGCCTGCCAGCACAGACGCCAGTGTTTGAGAACCCCCCTGCCTCATCACATACTGTAAGAGCTTAGCAAAAACAACTGAAATATGAAGAGAGATTCATGTAATTCCAATGCATGATGGGAAACAGTTGGTCAGCACCTGGCAGGCTACCAATCCAATAGGAGAACAGATTAATTAGATCCAGACTCCAGTTCTCCTGGACTGAAGAGGCTTTAGTGCTGGAAATTAGATTTTCATTTACACCCCAAATCCACCAGGAGCACAAGTCCATATTCCACACAGAACCAACCATGAAAGAAAAAATAAGCCTTTTGTCTGAGGCAGCGTTAGTGTTTGTGTGTGTGTGAGAGTGTGTTGCTGATGAGGACACTGTCTTAGTCCACCGTTAATATTACTCTCTTTAAATGCATACTGTGTTTGTGAGTTTGTGTGAGGTCACACACGACTGCACCAGCAGTTTCCATACGGCCCGTCCATACAGGACACACACTCCAGGGTCCCTGCTGCTGAGGAACATGCTGCTTGTTGGCATTTCATTCCATTGTCTTCTGCAGAAGCTCATAATTACACTGCTCACTGACATTGTTCAGTCCGTCCTCTCTCTCTGCTCCAGTACTTGCGTCTTCTTCTCTTGCGTCATCACACACACAGACCTTTACACTCCTACACCGTCCACCTTCTCCTACATGGACTCCTGCCTCCTCATTTGTCTGTGTACAGCTTCCCCAACTCCCTGTAGTTTAAATCCTTTACGAGCTACTTGTCTTCATCACGCAGCAGGGCTGCTGAGCTCTTACTGTGAATTTTCTTGAATATATTAAGTTATGATTAATAATGATTAGCACATTAGTCTGTGGTTCCACAGACAAGACTGAAATCAAAACTTGATAATACTTTTTTAAACCAACACTTCAAGCTAAATTGATGACTTTTTTAAATAGCAGACATGAAAGAAGGAGGTAGATGGTAGATTAAATTAAATTAATACTGTAAAAAAAAAGAATTGTGACTGCAGTCTTGCACTGGTTTAGTATCTGATATTCACATATGCTGTATATACTACAACCAGACCCTGGGAATTGTACGGCCTGAAGGCAACGTCCTGCCTTCCCATTGTCTTGTACCGACCCCGGTGACAATGTTGTTAATTACATTGTTAATCTATAAGGTTATATTTTTTGCGAGAGTGTTGTTTTTCAGTGCTGTCGTGTTGAGGAGGGTCCGTGGGAACCTCACCATCACAGAACGCTAAGACAATCAAGGGTTCATTCCTTTAGGAATCAGACAAAGTCCAACATTCTTTCGCTGTAGCTTCTCAGTAATAGAGATTAGCTTTTCATCTGTGTTTAACTTCAAGGATATTTTTGTTTAGTCTGGATTCAAAGACAGAACAAACAACGTAAAGATGGAGATAAGAGACCTGTTTAAATACCTGCACCTTACAATGAACAGAGGATAAGAGATTGAGAATGTTGACATTCAGTTGATGCAACTACACCTACGTATAAGAAAACTGCCTTTAAAGGTACATTTTGTAGAATTAATCAACATGCAGTTGATATTACAGTAAATCCAAAAAGGCTGTGTGAGAATAGAATCAGTCACACGGAAAGTCACAGTGTCAGCAAGTGAGAAATGATTGACAATCACACCAGTAGGATTCACAACATTCCATGTTCTCCATCATTCGTGTTCTAACCACAACACTGAGTCAATACAGTCCTTTTAGTTTTTGGAGAAACACTCGTCAAACTCATCTGTCACAGCTGGAACAAAAGACCTGATTTCATTGGAGGAAAAGTTTGGACGTTTGCTGCTGTTGATGTTGTTGAAGGCCGAGAAAAATGTTTGAGGAATTTTGGGGGAATTTACACATGATCCTATCACTAATCCTGTTAGTTTGAATATCTCTCAGCTGATATGGATCACAGACAATAAACTGCTCATGTGGAACACTCAGTTTCAGGCCTAAACAGATGAAATCAGTGCCTGTTGTTATTTCGCACAACATTTACCATGAATCGCCAAGACTTCATGGCATCAGGGAAAAGTTTTTCAATCTATAAAGTTGGCCTTTTAATTAGCACAAGATGAGTCTTGTTTGTTCAAAGTAGTAGTATCAAAAATTACCGTTGAGCCATTTGGAGTTGTACTGGGCCGTCCGTAGAGGAGGCATCCCACCGAGGCTGCGATAAATGACAGGGTCACGTCCAGAGAAGTCGATGACCGTGGCAGCGTACAGCTCTCCGCTCTCTGTCACCACCGCTGTGGAGTTGTGGCGAGGGTCGTACGGACATCGAGCCACGCCGTTCACCCGCTCCAGAACGCTGCTCAAGTTTCCCACCTGTGGAGGATGAAAAGACGGGCGGAATAAGGGAAAGTAACAAGGCTGGTTTGCTAACACACCCACACTTCCGTTTGTACCTCTCTGGTGATACATAGTGGCTGGAAGGCATTGGTCCCGCAGGTCATGACCTCAGTCTTGTTCACCAACAGAACTCTGATGTAATTTTGACACTCAATCTGCAGGGAAGACGATGGAGAGGAGGAATGCTTTCAGAGTAGTTACACAGCAAGGTGTCAGTGGCGATACATTCTCATGATACATTGATGATACATCCAACCAAGGCCAAGAAAATCCTTTGTGTGTAAATGTCGCCGATGGACAGAATGATTGAAAAGTCACAGATCAAATCAAACCATCATCTAAAAGGGAGATTTTCTCTGACTTTTATTCAGATATAGACTTGGATTTGGTTCAAACTGCAACTGTGCATCTGTGACCCATATCTGTTCATTTTGTTTATTTATTTATTGTTTTGGTGAACAGCACAAATCTGACCTGCTACATGAATATAGAGTAGCCCTTCAGCTACCAAAACCAACTGAGCTACTGAAATCTCCAACCACAGTTGGTTGTCATTATCATTTCCTGTTAACGATCTATAATTCACAATGACTTGTGTGTGAGCATCATGTTATCTAAAAAACAATCAACACAAGCCATAAGACAGTGGTATGTATTTGAAACGTCTATATATACAGTATCAAACATCTCTCTGTCTTGGCTTTGGCTCTGGAGCACACTTTCTTTGCCATTGCCCTCTTTTTCTACTGGAAGGAGGAAAAAACAAGTGATGATTGAAGGCTCTGAAATACTTGTGCGGCACAGAGTCCTCCCAGGAGGACCATAATGACCTGAGCACAAAACCCAGAAGATATCAGGATGGCCTCTTTGTGAGGCAGGCACCGCTGACATGAAGTGCTGTAATTGGGGGTGGGATTGAGGTTACCTCTGTTTTGCCTTTGCTCTGACAGGATCTCCTGGTATCCTCGTCCGGTGCCCATTCCGTTGCCTGGGAAACAGAAACAAGGCAAAAAAAAAAAAAAAGTCAAGGGATGTCAAAGAGGCCAAAAAAGGCAGTCAGATGAGTTCTTCAGATGCTACACAACAGTTACGCAATGGCCGGGAGTGTACAGTCACAAAACGATGCAAGAAAAAAAACAAGAAAGGAAACCAGACCCTAACCTCAGAACTGTTTGTTTATTGTGTAAACATGGCAACGTCTTTGTTGGTCCAGAGCTTTTATTGAGGGTAAGGTACCAAACAAGGCATTTGAAGGATGCTATTAGCATCTTAATAGCCTTTACTCCAAATTCTTCCAATCTCCGACCTTTTTTTTTTCTCCTACTGCTTGCCAATAACTGTGGATGGCTGTGTCTTGGGCTTAATTATAGATGCAGGCAACTGCAAAGACAGTGATGCGTGTGCATCCAGGCTGCCTGGTAACCAGAGCTGCACTGGCACTGGTTTTTGGAGGATTGACATTCCCTTTTTATCTGGCATGAAATATATATGTGGAAAGTGCCAGGGGATTCCTGTTGTTAAGTCAGTGCCCTCATTTTATTCCCCTCCTATTCTCCAAAGAGTCTTGTGATCATCTGCCTCTGTGTTCCTTCATTCCTTGTCCCTCTGTTACTCAGACTGTCCCCATCCTCATTATGACCACGGGTCTTCGCTGCACGTCCTTCCATCTCTCCTCCAACCTGGCAGCTTCAGCTGCAACATCTTTGGTCCAATGTTGTCCAACACATCAACCACCTCAACTATAAATCTCTAACTTTACCTCCGTCCTGTCTCCTAGCTGTCACTCTGAAATATACTAATGTGTCATGAATAATGACCGACTTTCTTTCCCTGAAGAAAAGTAAATCCACCTGAGACCCACAGCATTTCTCTGACTGTACTTTCGTGCAGACAGCTGGACACCTGTCAGTTCAGTGTGAATGCTGGGAGAATGGACAGTGTTCGCGTCACTGAAATATGCATGCTATCCCAGGCTTGTATCTGCTCTGTGCCTCACTCACTGTCTGCTCTATACCTTCAGCAACTTCTGTCTCGCTGCATGGAAACCAGCTTCACATGATAATAAAATGCTGTTACATGTCTGTGTTGGACTGCTCTGCTCCACGGTCGCTGTCTGTGTTTACTGCGAGTGTGTCTTTGGGTCAGCACTGCTTGTTCGCTCTGCATTCTCAGTGAGAAGAAGCAGCAGAAAGAGGTGCTGTTAGTTTCTACTGTTCTCATCAGAGGTCAATGTTTATACTCAGATAATATAGAGTTGGAAATGTATTATATAAAGTAAATATAATTTAAACTTAGTTGACACAAACCCATTTATCCAATATATACTGTTGAATAGTATTTGAAAATGACTTTTTCTAAGAAATAGTTGTTTTAGTATTTCTCACGTTAGCAAATCAAATCATTTTACATAAAGAACCTTTTTTTTATTTTTAAACTAAATCAAAGTTCTTCTCTTAATTCAGTGTCTGCTCAGGGCCAACCAAGTCACCACGGAACTGGGTCGGTACCTCAGGAACCAGAGAGAGGTCTTAAATAGTATAAAATAAAAAGTTAGTAACGTCTTAAACCAACTGTCCAAGTCTTTTTGATGAGTTTCACTTCCATGAGTGTAAAGAAAAGTCGTCTTTCACAGATCAAGAAAGGTTTGAACTGCGATTTTCTGTGTGACAGTTTTATGATTTTCATGAGTCGCTCTGCAGAAACTGTCAGTAATTAGTGAAACCAGCAGAAAATCCACAGTCTCATGAGAGGGAAAATAGGCTCATAATGTGCTGGGATTCCTATCACTGCTGTTACACTAAACTTTACTTCCATGACTTCTGATTGTACACACACACACACACACACACATACATACAGAGAGAGAGAGAGAGCTGTTGGTGCTGTCAGAAACACTTGTCTGAGGCAATGTTTGATTGTCTGAGACACAGCTTGAAGCTCAACTGATCATAAGAAAAAAAAGAAAATACACCCACAGTACACAACCTGCAGAGGATGAAGTTTGACAGACAATATTTGCAGCTCGGTATTAAAGGAAGAGATCTGGAAATGATGCAGCTTAGAAGGTGAAAGTGAGGAAAATGAAAAAAAATAAAAATAAAAAAATAAAAATGAGAAACAAAGAAAATGGAAAACCTTCAATGGTAAAACATGGATGGATATTGTATTTAATCTATTGACTCACGTGAACCTACAGCACAGTAACTGTTACCATGACCTGTAGCATCTGTTTATGATGCTAATGTAAAGTGTTTATTCTTTTCAGCAAGAAAACAAAAGTCACAAACCAATCAAGACACTATAAAGTATTAATGACCAGATATGTAACGTTCAAAGATGCAGCACGAAAACCAAAACATTGTAGTCCATCACTCAGTGAAGACACAGTTCAGAAAGGTGGCTGTTAAATAGTTTTGTCAAAGGCAAACAGGTCTAAGAAACCAAATTTAGAAAACCTTCAAAGACATTTTTCAAAATAAACATAACATATTTACGTACTGATAAAAACCACAAAATAAATGGGGAATGTGCAACTTAAGTTGCTGAATCGGAAAATATGTTTTTAGAAAGAAAAAAAAAGATTTAAATTACACTGCTGATACTCCAATTTTGGTATTTGTTGGCTCCTTAAAACCAGGTTAGCATTCGTGTTTAGAGCGACCTGGGACAGTACAGGTGTGAGGTGTGAGAGCAAAA